ATTCTCAGAAGGAAAACAATGGTTTTGAGGGGAAAACAAAATTACTGAGGGTAAAATTACAGTTTTGGAGGAAAAAAAATAACAATTTGGGGGGGACAGGAGGGTTTTGGCAGGAAAACAAGAATTTTGGTGGGAAAATGAGTATTTTTGGTGGGAAAATGAGGGTTTTGTTGGAAAAATGATTTTTGGCAGAAAATTTAGGGTTTTGGTAGGAAAATGAAGGTTTTGGCGGGAAAACGAGGATTTTGGCGGGAAAACAATTTTTGTCTGGAAAATGAGGATTTTTGTGGGAAAACGAGGATTTTTGGGGGGCAAATGAGGATTTTTTGGGGGGCAAATGAGGATTTTTTTGGGGGGAAAACAAGGATTTTGGCAAAAATGATGATTTTCTTGGGACAAGGTCGATTTGAGGGCGGGAAAGGGACGATTTGGGGGCGGAAAATCCTGATTTTGGGGCGGAAAAAGTTGATTGTGGGGCGCAGAAAAGGAGGATAAATATTTGTGGAGGAGAGGGAGGGTTTTGGGTGGAAAAGGGGCGGTTTTGGGGTCTCTGACCTTTCCGGAGGCGCTGCTGGTTCTTGCTGTTGATGACCAGGGAGCCCTCACGGAACTCGATGCCCATCGCGAACCTGAGGGGGAAAACACCAAAACTGGGGAAAAAAACCCAAAACTGGGGAAAAAACCCCACAGAATAGGGGTAAAAACCCAAAAGTGAGGGGAAAAACACCAAAACTGGGGAAAAAACCCCAAAACTGGGGAAAAAACCCCACAGAATAGGGGTAAAAACCTCAAAGCTGAGGAAAAAAATCCCCAAACTAGGGAAAAAACCCACAAAATAGGGGTAGAAAACCCCAAAGTTGAGGGGAAAAAACCCCAGAGAATAGGGGTAAAAACCCCAAAGGTGAGAGAAAAAAAATCCAAAACTGGGGAAAAAAACAGAGAATAGGGGTAAAAAAGCCAAAACTGAGGAAAAAACCCCCATGGAATAGGGATAAAAACCCCCAAAACTGGGGAAAAACCACACAAAATATGGGTAAAAAACCCCAAAGCTGAAAGAAAACCCCACAAAGTAGGGGAAAAACCCTCAAAGCTGAGGGAAAAAACCCCCAAAACTGGGGAAAACCCCCCCAAAAATTACAGATGAAACCCCCAAATCTGAGGGAAACCCCCCCAAACTGGGGTAAAACCCCCCAAAAATATGGGTCAAAATCCCAAACCCTGACCCCATATGCCCCCAAAATGACCCCAACCCCCCCAAGTGACCCCAAGCCCTCCCAAAATGACCCCAAATCCCCCCAAAATGACCCAAATCCCCCCAAAATGACCCCAAATCCCCCCTAAAATGACCCCAAACCCCCTCAAAATGACCCCAAATCCCCCCTAAAATGACCCCAAACCCCCCCCAAGTGACCCCAAACCCCCCTAAAATGCCCCAAATCCCC